CTGCATGAAAACTTTAAATGATAGGTACTTACTTTATTTAAAACTCAAAGTAAGGTTACCAAACTTATTCACAACTTCTGAGAGAGAATGAAAATGGGTAAAAGCAACGTGTTTGCCTTGCAATAGGATTAGCATAGGAATAAATGCTGTCAGTCACAAGAACTTGGTTAATCAGCACTAGCTCATCAAGCTGTGATAACATCTTTGCTTCAGTTTAATTTCAGTTGGTCACTGTTTGCTTGGATTTGTGCACTCTGAAATAGAGAATAAAATTCCGATTGGCAGCAGGTCTTCCTGTTTAATCTTAGGGAAAGATTTGTTTCTTTTCAAATAGAACTTCACAAAGTAAGTGAAATACTTCATTTGATGCTTTTAACAGCACATATCTCCAAAAGCCTCAGGAAATTTACTTCCTAAAGATTTTTATTAAAAGAGGAGATAAATCATTTGGACCAATTCCTGAAAAATGTAGAACACCCTTCTCAAATTCAGAAAGCTCAGCTTTTCTCTGGACTTGGCCTTTGATTTCTACTTACTGCTTCCTTCCTTGCATAAATCGTTATAAAGCAGGATTATCCTGGACTGGCTGGCCTGTCTGAAGTGTTGCATTAATAGGAAACTGCTGTTGTAGTCATTATTTCCATTTTTTAAAATTTTGCTTACATTTTACCTGGACCAGACTTTGCCAAGCTTTCTCCTATTAATTAGTACCAGCTTCAGAGAAGTCTTATTAGGAATTACATCTTATTGAAGATTAATTGGAGCATATTTTATTCATTTTTTCTTTGGAGAATATATTGAAAGGGTAAAAGATAAACAAAGCCAGAATCAGAGGGCCACAGGATATAAGGGAGCATAGTTTATTTTTCAGATGCTTACTGTAATAGTCACTTGCCATTTTTGAGATTTCTTTTGAGAGGCATGTCATGATGCTAAAGCTTATATGTGGCTGAGCTAAAGCTATCAACAATTGATTTGCTATGGAGAAATCCTGATGTAGCTAATTATTTGGAATCAAGCTGTCTGGAAAGAAGATTATATCAGGAAAGAGTATTGCTGCAATATTCACAAAGTATGAGGAATTAGAAAACAGGAGATTTTGATTCAGATATTTGAGGAAATGGAAGATAGAAATCCTTTTTGTAAGCATAGGATTTGGGAGAAAAACATTACCAGGCATTTGAGTCTCTTATTTGTACATTCAAGGACATAAATCTAAAAACAGCTGCTGCTATTGAGCAGGTTATTGTCCTTTTCATAAAGCTGGCTGCCTTTTTTATCTGCATACATTCATTAAAACAAAATCAATGCCTTTACGTATAAGTCTGATGGAAAACAAGTATTGTCTTTACTAACATTGGTGTTATAGCTGGCTCTTCTGTCAACCAGGGAAAGGCCTGACCTTTCAGATAATGTCTCCTTCTTGAAAATTTTTAATTTAAGAGATTTAAATAAGTTTTGTAAACTGCTGCTGTGCCATACGTTTGATTGTACTCCATTCTGTGGGAAGAGGGTTTAATGACTCTTAAAGAAAGGACTGAAACTTTGGTAAGACAGCAAGATGGAGTGGGAAACTGAGAGGCAGATATATGGAATCAGAGATGTGATTGATTAATTGAATGTTCCTGGGGAAAGTTGTGCTTATTGCCTGCAGCATCGGGTAAATATTGTGGTCAGTTGTCATACATCACTTTAATTGACCTGGATTTCAGCGTTTACAAGAGTGCTGACAGTCAAATCCAAATTGGACTGAAAAGAAAAACAAACTGTTGTCCTTCTGGCTGACAGCCAGATGTAAACGTCTCCTTTGAAGCTACATCTGAGCAGTAACACTCCGTTGCCTGCATATAACACAGCGTGCTGAATTAACTGGGCACATTTTAAAATAGTCTTAAATAAAAAGGAAAAAAAAAAAAGAACTTAGATCCTACATCCTTCTTTCCATAGGGCTGCTCTTCTGTTGCAGGAGCATAAAGATTTGTGGAATCAGGATTATGCAGCTAAATAACTGCAGAAGTCATATGTAGTTTTAAACAGCAGATACTTACTATGATTTTTAGGTGGCTGTATTTTAGCAACTGCTTCAAAGTGCTCAACAAGGCATCTGTGATAATGAACAAGATGGTAGCTTCTGGAAGATCTTTTGTTTGTTTGCTGCTTTTTCTTTGCATTCATCACAACTCTTGAGTTCAGCAGATGCCCTTTTTAGTAAAGATTTTCATAGTCTTTGCATAATACTTGTCATACAGCACTGGTGCCACAAATCTGCAATCCCAACCCTCTTCTTGGAAAGGTGTGTAAAGCCAGCACTTACTATTCTTCTTTTCAAGCAGCAAAATAAGGCTTCCTTAGCCTTCTGGGCTTGGGTGCAAGTGAGGGCTACCCCACCACAGATCCAGTAAGGTCTGCTCTTTCAGAGAGGCTTTTCCTGGCAGTCCCTTCCTACTGGACTGAAGCCTTGTTGTACCTATTAGCCTCTGTTCTGGCTTTCACATTACTGCTTGCATCAAGCAGCAGAGAGCTGAATGATGTTTTTAATTCATGAGCTCAGTTTTGCAAGGTGCCAAGTGCTCTGGCTGCAATCCAGCCATGCTCTTAAAGGGAGTTTGCAATAAGGCAGAGCTATGAACCCACTAGTAAGAAATCTCTGGTCGCGTGAGGGGTCGTTTCCTCTGCAACGTATCCAGGATGAGAGATTTCCCAGGCAGCTGAGATAACCACAGATGGGTGTCACTCTCCCTCATCTTCCTTCCCAGGCTTGAGGGTTTGTATGGCCCCTTTGAACCCAGGTCCTCCACAATTTGGACTGCAGTGAGCAGCTTTTCTCTTGCTTGAGGACCTGTGGCACAAGGTCCAGCTGTTTTTCAGATCAGAAACAAGGACAACAAACAGCAGCAGATGGCTCTTGGACATCATATCCTTGCCTTGTTCGTGTGTATCCATCACTGCACACGCCTTCGGTCATCAAACTGAATCCTAATATATTTACCTAAATATGGATTTTACGGATTTTGGAGGACCTGACTGTCAACAGAATTCTGCCACTGATGCAGGTATGAAAACAAGCAGAACAAAAGCAAAATGTAAGAATATCAGTATTGATTTTTGAAGATGTAGAGTTATCCCAAAGTTGCTAAAGAGGTCACCTTTTAACAGACAAAAGGACAATGACTCTTGGCCTTACTTAATATATAGGTCTAATTTTAATATTAATTGAACAGATACAGTGGAGAAAAGCTTTTTATTGTGAATTACTGGCTTAAATTCTTATTATGATATGCTATAGGCACTTTTTTTTTCATGATACAAATATATTTTCCTTCCCTCTGTAGGGGAAGGAAAAGAGTTAAAGCTAATTAACTGGAAGAGGGATCTTATTTTTTTCTCCTGATGAAGGCTATTCTTGATAGGGAAGGGGAGGAGGACCAAGAAAGATGCAATCAACCAGTTTGATAAGACAAAGATATCAGTGAAAAGTTAAATGCCAAAAGAAATATTTGGGTTTGTGGGTTTTTTTGGCCCTTTTTTTTTTTTTATATTAACTAAAACATGAGATGACTGGCTTACTTAAATTTTTAAAGTCTTTTAAAGTTTGTTTAAGGAGTAATATTTCACACAACTTTTTTTTTTTCCATGAGTTTGTCTAGATTGACTTAAAAATCCTCACTAATATGAAAAACTCTCTTAAAATAAAGCACTTCTGGTACTTCTGGTACTCATAAAGGCTCTCCAGTCCATATAATTTTTTTTCTGATGACAATTCAGGAACTTCTGTAAGTGTTTCCCTGGCTGGCTAGAGTCAAATTGCATCATATTGACCTCTTCTAGACAAGTGGGAAGATGATACCTTCAATCAGATTATCCAGATCAACTCACTTTGTTGAAACCATCATTTCACCCTAACACCAAAAATCTTTTGAGTTCAGTACATTTATATTTACCTTTTTGACCACATGCAAACCATTAGCAAGCTACTGTGGCATATGTGTAAGGAGTGATGGGAGATAGGAGAAGCAATGGGGAGGAAAGGAATATGTTTCCTGAGGAGCTGCTTAATATGCTACAGCATCAGCTTTTCTCCTTGAGGGTATATAGGCAACAGATACTAAACCAAACTGCTCTCCAATGCCAAAGAAAGAGAATTTCAAAGCCTCCATGTATGTTTGATGCCACAGATGTGTGCCCCTTCCACTGAGGCTTAGCAAGTGTAAACACTGCCCTTTGCATAAGACAAAATGTCCTTTCACAGGAACAAAAAGACTTCTAGCACTTTCTCTGGTAGCTGAGGTGCTGTTGGCAAGAGCACACCACAAAATAAATTAGCTCAGATAAGCACCACTGTTGCCTGGAGCAGCTCAATTAGCCTTTTGCACTTGAAGCGCAGGGTTTTATAACGCTAGATAGAGCCTCAGACCAGACCATTTCAGACTTTGGTCCTCTTTGCTCTTTTTGGATCCAAGATCACTGAAATCCAATGCTTTTATTATATTTTTTTAACTGAGCATTTAGAGCAAATGAAATCTTGAGCTTTTTTCCCAGGCAGTCTGTTACTGCCTAGACTTTGGTGGAAGGGAAACAAAGCCAGCTTTCGTGTCTCTCTTAATGCCAGAACATACATTCATTCTGATTTAAGGCATGGAGGGGACACCGTTATTATGACTGCGTAACTGCTGATACTGACGTAGCCAGATATGTCATCCTAGTCTGGATTCTGTGGCAGGAGGTGTTTTGCAAAGGAACAGAAGCTGCATGCTCATTGCTAACTGTTTATTAGATGCTCTTTCTTAAAGCAGAAATAAATGTATTTATTCCAGCTATTGCCTGAAATCCTTTCAGACCCCTTTTTTTCTTTTTTTAAGTTAACATTAAGGCAGGTGAATGCCATTTGTAATTACAATTGCAATTTGTATATAGCAAAGAAGAGAAATTTCCTTTCAGTCTATCTCCTCTCCTTATCTTTTTGTTCATATACCATAGAGATAGTTGGTCTCTTTTTCAATGCATTTGCCTCATCTCTCCTGTTTATTTTCAGGATCAGATAATCACTGCATTACAATCTAAGCAAAATGATCACGTTGCTGTGAAAGCTATCTATGATCCGTATGTTCTGTAGAGGTAAGCTGATTTGTTGACTATTTTGTGTTGTATATCATTTCACATTTTTAAAATGTATTTAGACATGCTGCTATTATTGTTGCTACATTTGTGCTACATTATTCTCTTAAAATTTCCTTCCCATTACAGGAAAAAAAAATGCAGTAAAATGGCAGAAATTACTTCATTTCCTAAAAACAGTAATTTTTGTCTTTTAATGCTTTTAATGTTTTTGTCTTTTAATAGTTCCATCTATTAGCTAACACTTAATCTGGAGACAGTCTGCTTTCAACAACACCTACTTCCTATCAGTTGCAAAAACAAGCTTCTTCCCTTAACCTAGGCAAACGCTTTTTTTCTGAATAACAATTCTTTACCCTACATCCACAAGGCTGACGCACATTTGATTCTAGATGGAGTCTGTGTGTGGTTTAAGAAATATCACAGATATGTAGGAGCTGCATTTCTGTAATCTATTCTCCAAGAATTTTATTTTGGTGTTAGCATTTTGGCAGTTGACAATACTGTTTTGTATTAGACAGAATGAATTCATGTCAATGCTCCATCTGTAAAATTACCATTGCAAAGTGCTGTATGCTGTATTCAGACTCCTTGTGATGATTTCCTAACCCAGTCATGTGCCTCTCATGGCACATAAATCAAAGAGAGTGATAGATTTTGTGCTCTCTGCTCTGCGAGACTGTCAGACCCTGCTCCTTATTTACTCTGTGGAGAAAAACTTTTGGGGAGTAAGTCAGAAGGATCATCATGCCGCTTATTTGGCACATTCATGATGTTTCATAATAGAGAAATTCAATAGAAGGAAGTTCTAAATCATCATTCACAATTAGAAATCTACCCTGTCACTCAAATGGTATTTTCATATACTTCAAAAGTATAGGCAAATCTCTTCCTCCTCACTTCCTCCCTCTCATATACAATAGTATCAAATTATACCTATACAAATAACACAGAATAATTGGAATATTTTCTGCAGCTCCTGTACAGACTTCGCACAGGAAGGTATAACTCTCCTGGAATTGACTCTCAGCAAGAGTCACAGACCACATAAGTTTTCATTATCAGTGCAGATATGTCCTCTGCTTTATTATTCAGGATACATTTCATTAGGATGACATTTTTGTGTATGTGCCTTTGGTATTATTGAGGCTTGGAATACCTTATCTCCAAGTATTCGCCATACAATTCATTAAAAATATAAATGTTGCAAAGGAAATTTTTTACTTTTTGCCAGAGCAAAGTTATTATCCATGAGTTAAAGGCAAGAAAATAACATACTGGGTCAGATGACAAAACAGAAAGCAAAAGAAGTATCTAGTCCTTGGTAAGAACTCAGATTTTTGAAAATATATTAAATCTTAATACTGTCTCAATGATTTTCTCCTGTGGATGAAAGATTATTTGTTGCCTTAATAATGTAGACACATTTATCCTGGAAATAAGAAGACTTTATCACTTGGCAGAAAAGGAGTACTTTGTTTCTTATCTTTAATTGTCATTACGGTTGAGCTCAAGCTACTTTGTTCAGAGTAGGAAAATCATGGTAATATTAATCCATGATCTCACTAAGAGGCAATGGATAATTGGAGTGATTTGTAAGTGACAGTAGAGGACTTGTGATCTGGGTGATCCTTTAAGTATTCGTGCTTCTGAGTAAATCACTCCAAACTCTTGCTTGAAAAAATAAACAATTTTCAGGAGAGATAAAAAATCTTGTTATTGAAATATTAGTGCTTAGGATTTTATTTTCCTTCTTGCAGAGAATCAAGTAACTAATTTAATTGTGCCCTATGGCATAATGTAACTTTTTTTTTCTTTAAAGATGTATTCATCTAAAAGCTGGGACATTGCAACATAATATGTGTGATTCTTTCAGCTTAGTCAATTAATATTGCATCATTGTGGTGGGAGAAGGATTGCCTCAGTAAAAGGGAGAAATATATGTACATCTCCAGAGACTAAATGTAAGAAAGATAAAGATGACTTTCTAAGGTTCTCCAAACACTCCTGGTGTTGGAATGATTGTCTTTATCAGATAAGTCAGAGGAAACACAACACTTCTGTCCATTAACTGTGCCCAGATGGACCAACTGCAGCTGTCCCCAGAACTAACCAATGACACAAATTTCAGGTTTTGCAGTACTCTGATATAAAGCAAAGTAGGGCAGGCCTTATCCTTGTGATAGGAGCATTTCTATTTCCCAATGTCATCAGAAGAGCTAGAGCAGCCTTGTACAAGACTTGAACAAGAAACTTCATGTATGTGCAGAAAACTTTAAACCAGAATTTATGACTCCATCTACAACCAGAAACATTGTGAAGTGTATTTTAGTAATGCCTAGTTTAATATCTGACTCCAAGCGATGTTGTGGAGCTTGATTCATCAACATGTGCAAATGATTTGATTTCTTGGGACACAAAGCATTAGAGTAGCTCACATTATATTAGTCTCTTTCCCCATTATGGATCCTTCTCGAATACATTTCTGCAATGCAGTAAGTGTGCAGTGTGCTTCAAGGAGAAAAACCTTTCATAGTGAGGCAGTTACCAATAAACAACAAATGCGATTTCAAATGTAAAATATTAGAGAAAATTCCCTTTCTGTGACCATAAAATTTTCACACAAGTGCTCCCAGGTTCTAACTTCAGCCTGCTGCCATCTGCTTAGCTTTCTTCTGTAGCTAAAGAAGAGAAATAGTTTTCACCAGAAGAAAGTTTAGAGCTTAAAAAAAGCCTTTCTTACTCCATTTCTTATTACCAATGTCACAGAATTTAAATTAGTCTTTGGGAAAGCTCCCATAACAGCCCACTTAGGGTTCCTCTCCAAAGTCACGCTCTCAGCAGTGCATGCTCTTTTCTGTAACATCCATGTTAAATGACTTTCCAAAAACAGATGTGCAAAGCCAACCCGCAAAAATCTAATTCAGTGCTGGAGTCAGCAAAAATGAACCCTAGCTGATCTCTAAGGATTCAATGCCAGCTGATATTTCTAGGCTGCCAAAAATGCTGAGTTTGACAGCAAGTTTTCTAGGCTCCTCATTGCTGAGAAAGAGTTGTCACCACAAGCTTCTCTGTTGATAACACTAGGGTATTACTTGCAATAACCACTGATGGGACTCGAGTTGAGGCTTTGCTTTCTGCCAGTTGTATTTTCTTCTGTGGATGACAGAACTTGGAAGCATTACTTTACATATTGCTTTTATTTGGTTTCTACAGGAAAATGTGAATGTAAAACAGGCTTGCACTGCCCCTGTGTAACCTTTTTCCTTTATTTTCTCTTCTTGTCTGCATCTTGTGAGCCTGACTAGGCTGAGGTGGAGATGTGCACACACTGAAAGGTCTAAAGAGGACCTGGGATGTCCAAAGAGGTCTTTTTTACACCCAAGACTTCCTGGAAAAGCAGAATAGTCTGGAACTGTTCCTCTAAACTCTAGCAATATGGAGTACATGCTGGATCTAGGCCAAAGTTTTAAATTGAACTTGACTTTCACAGGCAGGTGTCCAGAATATTTCAGAAATCTTCTGAGACCATCAGTAATCTTTTCATGAACAATATACACAAATATGCCCTGGCTGTCAGAAATATTAATTTTGGCAGCCACGGGACAATGTGGTTACAATTTTCTATCATTGTTTCCAGTTTAAAGCCATGAACAACTTTGTCTTTCAATACAGTCATTTACTTATCAACCATCACAAACATCAGTGAAGTTACTAAGACTGGAAAGCTTTGAACTAAATTTGAGAGGAAGAGACAGTAAAAAAAGCCAAGAGTTAGAGGTATGTATAAATAAGTGTGATTCCATAGTAGGGCTGGAGAACAAGAAAGAGAGGAAAAGGGAAACTTCAACTGGAGAGATGAAAGAAAATAGTAGAACAGTCTGCAAACAATGGGAATGTCTATATCCAATTCCAAGAGAATGGACATAAACAAAAAAAAAGGTGTTTATACATAAACAATATTTAGTATAAAACTTTAACTGCAAACTCTGAAAGAGGAAGAAGAAATGATAAGTTCAGGAAGGACACACAAGAAAAAATATGAAAACCTGCTGCCTAGTATTTGAAGATAATGCATATATGTTCTAAAATTCATAGGGACATAAGAGTAGGATAAGAAATTCTTGGTAAAGAGTCAAAGACACATTTTAGGAAAAGAAAGAATTAAAAAAAAAAAGTAGAAAAAAAGAAAGAAAATACTGGATAATGGGTTTAAAAAAAAAACTTCAGTAAACCTGGGGAACTGTTAGGCAGACTCTCACAAGAAGATAATCTAAGGGAAAGATAGGAATTGCAGACAGGAGTTACATCAATGCATAGAAATAAATTCAAGGGAGACAAGGTGAAAAACAGGAAGCAAAGTACATTGCAATTGCACAAGGGCCTTTTTAAGAATCTAAAATCAGAAGATTCATACAAAAAAAACAGAAATAAAGAATATAATTAGGTAGGAATTTAAAAGGAATCCTACAAAATATATGAATAAAGTCAAAAAGGCTAAGATGTTAACATTACTATGGAACCGCAAGAAACACAAGATATAATAAACACATAAAGAGCAAAAGAAGGGCAAAGTAAAGGTTCATTACTCAACAGACATTGCCTGCACTGAGAAGATTAATTTCTGATCAGAATCTTAAATATGTTAAATTTAATGTGAGAATAGGAGCATAGCCAGAATAGGGAGAAATTAAGTTTAAAAATATCTGGGTAAGCTAAGCATAATTCAAGCCATCAGAGACTGATGACATTAAACTTTGCATGCATAAAGGAGTAGGAAGATATCTCTGAAATATTCACTATTATCTTTGAATATTCTTAGACAATGGGAAGATCCCAGAGAATGCCATAAAGGAAAACACAATACCTGCTTTTAAAAACAAATATATGCCATAAAGGAAAGCACAACACCTGCTTTTAAAAACAAACATACAAACAAAGAAGGAATTATGGATTATTTCTCAGTTCCTGGAAAGATTCTGGAGCAAGTGGTTATACAA